TATAATCCAACGCGCACTCAATAAGCAATCTTCATAATTGAAGTAAAAATTTGAAGAATATAGTTACTCCGTATTACATACGAAGAGTAATATAGAAGGACATGGAAGCGATGAAAGAATTTAATTTGCATGCAAATGTCCTTAAGACGACGTGAAAGTTGTGCTGACGATGAATAAGAGTGAGAGTAGCAAAGCCCATCCAATCTTCTGTCCAGAAGCACCTGTAAAAATAACAATAATATAATTATTATAGGTACATATCCATTAATTACTTATTCTAAAAACCAACGCAACATAAAATGTAACTCTGCGTAAAAGAAAGATGAAGGTATGAAGCTAACAAACACATAACAATTAACAAATTCAATATGCGTCATAGCTAACCATGTCAGGAGAGTCTCTCGATTCGCATTATATTATAACTTTAGTTGTTGGTAGGATTAATGAAAGAAATTGTATAAACAAATATTTTTAGAAGTATTATATATATAAGTACACTATTCTTAAAAGTTGAAAAAAAAAGAGACAATTAGCGTCAATAATGGCACAGGAGATGGTATAATTATTCAAACACTATTCATAAGAGTTAACTCAAACTTTTTAAAAGGTAGGTATGTAGACAGAATATTATGTTGACAAAATGAAAAAAAAAAAGCATGCAAATAATAACATACATACCTGAGCACAAAGCAGTAAGAGGACTAGTGACATTGCAGATAGACAATACTTGATTGAAGTTTGAAACATGCGAGTTATCATAATCAACAATGATATCAATACCGCGACAGAAACACTGTTTATCATCCTTCACTTGTTGCTGGATGACCGAACAACAAAGTACGTGACTCGCATTGAACGTAGGCTCAGTTAGGTCCAACAACGATGTTTCGTTGAAGGTGGCGTTAACACACCGCACTATCTTATCCCAGCAAGGTAACGTCTTGGCAAGCATACCAGAATCGGGTGCTGGTGCTGATGCCGCTGTGGTTGTTAATGGTATCGACAAGCACATCATTCCTAGAACCATTACTAGCCCTATTTCTATGTATAGTTTTCCACCTGCCATTTATTTGCTTTAGTTTTATGGGATTTTCTTTTAATGGATTTCGATTTTAATCAGTTGTTGCTTCTATCTATAAAATGTATGAAACTAAAAGTCATTTATAGTAACCCAAAGAGAATTAATCAATGGAAATAATATGATTTTATATAATTCTAGTACTATAACCTATTCGTTTGTTTAATTAATCCGTAAGTAGAAGATTAGGACTAGCTAGTATAATTTTCTTCTTGTGATTTAATTGTGCCACCACGATCGAATATGTTTGGAGTATTTTTCTTTTTTGAAAATTTCCTCATAAGAGTATTGTTTTGTATTAACTGAAAATTCTAGTATTAATTATTTTTGTAAGAAAATGATAAGGTAATAAAATTGATAATTTATAAATATAGCTGGTTGCATTATTTGCTTGATATACTTAAAATCTGAAATTTTCTTCTTGTAAAATTAAAGTTTAACACGATAGACTTTTTGAAAATTTTTGAGGATTTGTATTTTAATGATATTTTCAAAATTTCAGAATTCAGCTCAGAATTACTGTTATTTTCATTCCAACATGGACTATAGTTGATTTTCATATCAGCTTGGTCAATGGTTCCTAGAATGAAAAAAAGGGTATGTGGCGATCTTCATAAATCATTCAAATTTGTTGATAAGGTTAAGAATGGCGCAATATGATTGTTAGTTTTGAACATATGACCAGGACTTATAGTCTTATTGATTGCCCTCAATTGTAATTGAATTGATATTTGCATTTTCTATATTCAGAATCAATATATGGCCTTATAGCTAGGTGCATATACTATACTTTGTATTAAATTATTAATCACATATATTGATAGTTAAGTGTTAAGACTTAGGAGTACGTGAATTAGTACAAGAGAAAAAAGGACAATTGGTACACATCACTCAATTCTTATACATATTCTCTATTATACGAATTACTTTGTACTAAATATAATTTTTTATACTACATCCGTTTTTTATTATGTGCAACAAAAGAAAAGTTTATATCTCACAAACAATTTCTCTTTGTTGCACATAATAACAAACGGAGGTAGGATAATAATTAAAATTACCCCGTACCATTATAAAAAAGTTTCCACCCTCAAATGTAGGCATGTACTGAGTACCATACCGAGTATGTACGACTAATGCGAGTATTTATAACATGTGATGCCCGAATATTCCTTGTTGAAGCCTAATTACCAACAATTGGTCTTGTATGGACCCGGTCTACAATAAATTATTGTAGACCCAAAATTTGACACTTTCAAATAATATAATCACATTCTGGATGATATAATCACTTTTTTAGATGATATAATTATCTTTTTGTGAGTCATATTTTGATCTCATATTAAACCATTTAATGAGATTATATAATTATCTTTAGGATGATAAAATTTTAAAATCATCTTTTGAATGATGTAATTTACTATTTGATATTTTTTATAATGATAAATTCACTTTTTGAGTGATACATTTACATAATAGTTTCGAGATGATATAATCACTTTTGTAATAATATAATCACATTTTGTATTATATAATCACATCCATATGGTACACTAGAAGGTTGGGTCTACAATAAGTTATTGTAGATCGGGTCTATTCTAGTCTTAATAATTACCAATGTGTGATGAGTTGGCATCGATTGATTGAGACTCATACCAAGTAATTTTAAAATAAAAGTTGAACATACTAGTCAAAAATTAATAGTAATGATAATATACTAGTATAAGATTAAGAAAAATATATGCATGTTATATATAACCCTAACGACTTTGCATCCTATCTTAAAATTACGATATTTAATGAATATCATGCCAATGTGTCACATATATTTTGCTGTCATAATACATACTTCTTATGTATTATTACTATTCAAAATTAATAAGCTAAAGAAGAACTATTGCTTTGATTGAATGGTTTATGTTATTGGTGCTTTAAAAGTCTAAAGACTAGAGGTACCAAAGTCCCTGTTGGAATACTTGGACCAGGCTCAATTATGAGATAAAGGTCTATTCTACTCACTTTATTTCAATTAACTTATTTTATGAAAGATAATAAGTTTAAATAAATTTAATTTGAAAAAAAAAAGTCATAATTAATTCTAGTAGGAGATGATAAGGTTATCTAAGTTTGATGATTAAAAAAAATTTATCATAATGCCTAATGTGTTCTAATAAGTTCAATAAATTTAGATAAATATAACGCACCTAATATGAAGGACTAATAAATCATAAATATCCTTGTAAGTCAAAAGAATTTATTTTTTTTAAAAAAAAAGGAAATTTTGACTTTTGCTACCTGTCAAACAGGTCGAATCCACTTTTTCTACCCATCAAAACTTTTATTTTATTTTACTACCTAACATATGCCCTTTTTTAAAATTTCGTTGAGTTTTTTTTTTTAAAAAAAAAAAAACAAAATACACTAGTAGAAAAATGTACATTTGCGTCGCCATATTTGCGTCACTCATTCTAAGGAGCGAAGCAAATGTTTATTTTTACCATCCTTTTAAGTTATTTGCGTTGCATGTTATTCAAGAAGCGACGCAAAACTCAAGTGCATTTCAGCTTTCTCTCATTAGCGTCGCTCTTATTTATTAAAGCGACGCAATTAATAAACTTATTTGCGTCACTCATTTGTTAACAAGCGACGCAAATAAGTGATTAAGTAATTTGCGTCACGCTTTTACTACATGAGCGACGCATATGAGGTGTGTACAATATCATAAACAAGGTTATTTGCGTCGCTTTTTTATAATAAAGTGACGCAAATAACTCTTTTGGCTTTAGGTTTTCTGCGTTTTTTTACCTTATTTTTTCATCACATACGCCTACATTCACTAAACAAAAAGAAAAAAAAACAAGAGTTCTTCAATTCCAGTGAGTTGCTACAGCAAAACACCCACAAATTCGTCTCTGAAATCCAACAAATTAGGCCAAAAAACTGCGATTCCCCAGCAAATTTAACATCTAAATCAAAATTGCAGTCAAGTTGAAACAAATCCGAGCAATTTTGATCAAAAATTTAGACCAAAAACCCTAAGAAATTCGAACCCTTAAACCCAGAAAAATTGATTGTTTTCGACCAAAAATCCCCCATTTCGAGCAAAAAATCAACTCAAAAGCATACGAATTCGAACCCTAGAAACCCCAAAAAATTCAATTTCGGTCTTCAAGTTCGATTGGGGGATTTCGAGGGGGTATTTCTTGGGTTTTTGGCAGCGACGCAATATACCCTAAGAAATTCGTCCCATTTCAGTCATAAATAATTTTTGTTCGAATTTCAGTCAAGAAATTACAGGAACAATAGTTTCAGTCAAGAAATTACAGCAACAATAATTATTCGAATTACGTATTTTTCTGGGTTTAAGGGTTCGAAATCCCCCATTTCAGTCATAAATAGAAATTGTTCGAATTTCAGTCAAGAAATTACAGCAACAATAATTCTAGGGGGGATTTCGGCTTGACATTGTTGAATTTGTGAAGTCAATTTCACTTAAGGTAAGATTGCTTCTATTTATGTTCATTCTTTTCATGGTAGATAGAATGTAGCATTTAACATGAACAATGACTTAGTTTAATTTCAAGTTTGGTGTTAGTTCATTAATTAGAAAATATATATGGCAGATTTTAGTTGAATATATAACTGGTTGCATCTTTGAGCTGCTGATTTTTGTGCTGCTGGTTTGCAATATATTACTGATTTCAAATATATAACTGAAATCGAGTGCATAGTATGACTATATGAGCGGTTTTGCAAAAATAGATAAGCCACGTGTTGTCGATCTTCATCCTGGCCATTAAATTCAGTAACATTGACCCTTGTTTTTCAACTGTCTTATCTTTAATTTGCTGTAAAAATGCTGCTAAATAAATTACAAAATACATGTAAGACTTACACTCGTTTAGTTGGAAGTCAGTGTTTACATATATGTTATTTAGTTGGAAGTCAGTGTTTACATATATGTTATTGGGTCTCTTGGTTAGTTGGAAGTCAGTGTTTACATATATGTTAGAAGAGTGTTTTTTGAGGTTTTCTGTGGACTGATACTATGAAATCTTGTTGCCTGACCATTGTAATTGTATTAGCTTTGCTGTGCTGTTGATTGAAAAGAGAGATGAAGAAGGGCAATTACAAGTACTATCAGCTGCACTTGAGGTAAAATACTAAAATCCTCTGGTTCCTTTCAACTGCCCTTTGTATTAAGTTTCTGTCTTATGTGTTGATGCAATTAAAACTATAAAAATCTTATAATGCTTGCTCAGATTCAACTGCTCAATGGGATCATTTTGCATTTATGTTTGAGAATGTAGGAATATATTAATAAATTTTGATTGTATACAGTGGCCAACAATTACTAAATCTGTTTGGAAAACTTATAAGATAATTTAAAATCGAGGAGTATTTGCGATGCTCATGGATTGAGCTTACAAATTGTTTAAGTATAATAATGCAGAAGTGCTACTTTTATTTGTTGGGTAAAAAGTTTGATTTATTCTCTGGTTGCAGATTGCTGAAGCAGAGAGTATTGATCTAGATTCAAAATTCCGTGCCCTGGTTGCTATTGGATCATTGGTATGTTGTCTTCTTATATCTGTTGTGTTATGAGAATGCCACAGCCCACTGGGTAATGTCAAGAGATACTTTCAAGTATAAAGAGGCTATTTTTGCAATTGTTTACTATACCGGCAGCTCTTTGTGGAGCTTCTGGAGGGGTGATTGCCATACAGTTTTGCTGTGCAAGTCTTTGGATGTTTGTATGGTCTTTTGAGTTTCTTGTTTTCAAACTATCTTGTCTGCTTATTTAATACGGAGTACCAAGTACTTTTCTGATTAGTATAAGATCTAAATACCTGCGGATGGCTAAACACTCGTTTCAGGTCTTCAAGTTTTACACCATGATTGGCTAATAAGCAATGCCGAATAACAACTTTTATGTCACATGGCAGATTAAGTTGAATCAACTATGTTGGTTTAATATATGTAATTTTTTATGGCAGATTCTTAATTATGCGGAAGTGAATTCCACAAGTTGCTCGAGGTTCTGGTTGTTGACAAACGATTAAGGCGGTAGTACGCATACGAGATTGTCTTCACCTGTGGTATATATACGAGGTTCTGGTGTGTAAGGGTAATATATATGTTATTTGTTTCAAATGTGTAGTGCTTTTCGAATTTTTAAAGCATTAAGTGGACAATCTAGGGGAAGTAAATTGACATGGCATTTGGGACAGGTTACCTTAATTTCTTACCCTAACTTTTAGTTTCTTAATAATTTAAGTATAGCAATGTAATTCAACTTATAAATATATTACATGTAGTGTCCTCAACAATTGGGTGGACGTGAGTGTGGCTACTACGTCATGCGTTATATGTACGAAATACTTGAACATCACCATAGCAATGAGGATCTTATTCAGGTATGAGTTGTCAAATATTTCATTTTTGTTTGATAAATACAATTTGTTGTTAGCTACAATCTTGAATTAAAACTTTCCTCTTGTATATTTGTTGTGTTGATAGGATTTTTCAAGAACTACACCGTACACCGAGGAGGAGATAAATGAGATTCGAGATATTTGGGCAGAGTATTTTATATGTAATGTTGAACTTTAGATTTACACTTAGCGCATGTTGGACTCTTGTTTTGGATTATAGGCTTGAAATGAATGAATTTGGTTAATTGGTGTTGGGATGATAAGTATAATGTCTATGATATTGAGATGTAATTTATTGGACAGGTTGTTAATATAATGTCGTCATTCCCAATTTTATGGGTAGGCCAAATTACAAAGGAGACTCTGCCGAAATTTACATTTGCATTATTCAATAATATTGCATTTTAATTTCAATTATATTAGCGTTAGCATATTACTTTATACCACTAGTAAGGAAAACAGGTACTACAAACATATACAAGGCAATTGTTATAATTAAAAAAAAATCACCTCATTTGCGTCACTCATTAAACAAACAAGTGACGCAAATACAACAATTTTGTAGTGTCTACTCAGTCATTTGCATCAATCCTATATAAACAAGTGACGTAAATAACAAATAAAAAGTTTATCAGAAGAGTCATTTGCGTCGCTCTTTTATAGAGGAGTGACGCAAATAACAAAACAGAAGTTTATCAGAAGAGTCATTTGCGTCGCTCCTTTATAAAGGAGTGACGCAAATAAGAGTCATTTGCGTCGCTCCTTTATAAAGGAGTGACGCAAATAACAAAAAAAAAATTTATCAGAAGAGTCATTTGCGTCGCGAGCAGTTGCGTCGCTCATAGAAGCGACGCAAATACACTATAAATGAGCGACACAAATGAGCCTTTTTCTACTAGTGATAATTATAAATTAAAAATAAAAAAACAAAAAAATAAACCACCCACCGTACCCCTGCCACCCCTCCCCTCAACTGCCGCCCTTCCCTCCCCCCTGCCGATGGCCTGTGCCCAAAGCTTCGGCCGGCGCCGGCGCAAACCCACCCCCCTCCCTTTCCCCCACCCCTACGCTGCCAACCGAATCCACCCCTCTTCCCTTTCCCCGTTCTTGCAACCAAATCATCCACCACGCGCAGCTCCTCTCCAAATACCAGCCCACAATCGCAACCCCTGCAGCCACCTCCTCACTCAACCCGCACAAAATCAATTCCCAACCACCGATACTCAAACCACCAATCGCTTCCACCCACATTATCAATTCCTGAAATCAGAGCAAATCGCAGATCCATCGAACCTCGTGTAGAAATCAATTTAAGTTTGCCAAAAAAAGTTGTGGTGTGGTGGTTTAGGGGTTAGGGTGGTCGAAAAGGTTAAGGCGGTTCGATTCGTTAGGGTTCGGAGCAAAGTGTTGCAGAAGAGTGGTGGTAGTGGTGGTGGTTGCGGCGATTCGGATCTTTGATTGTGGTTTCGGTGTGGTGGCTAGGGTCGGGGCAGCAGGGGAAAAGGGAGGGGGCTGGGTTGCGTTTGTGGGGGAAAAGGGGTGGGATGGGTTCGTCGGTTGCCGGTCGGGGGAGGGAGCTGGGTGGCTAACGGGAGGGGCAAGGTTGGTTTCTTGGGTGGTTGATTTAATTTTGGTGGCTGACAGGGAGGCTTGTACGGTGGCAAAGGAGGGAGTGGTGGCCGGAAGGTGGTAATGAAGGTGGTAACGGAATTATAAACGAATTCCGTTCAGTGGTAGCAAAATTTTAAAAAAAGGGCATATGTTAGCTTGTTAGGTAGTAAAATAAAATAAAAGTTTTGATGGGTAGCAAAAGTGGATTCGACCTATTTGACAGATAGCAAAAGTCAAAATTTCCAAAAAAAAAATACAATGTATAGTACTTAATTAAATCGTCCACTATAAGTTCATGCACAAGCAAGACCATTGTGGACAACCAATAAGAAACTTGTTTGATGGAGATGATGACCTTGATATTTTGAGGTCACAAACTCGAGTCCCTTGCAAACAAATACTTAAATAATTATTTCAAAAACTTTATATTACTACTTTGGATGACCTTTTCATTTGATAGTTAGTAATAAATTGTGTAGTGCAAATGGCTATTAGAAACTTGTATAATTTGATAACCAGCTTTGTAACATAGATGTTCCTCAACTCCTTTTGTATGCCTAAACTTAGTTTTTGAAACTTGCGATGAAATTGTATAGGATGTATTTTTGGGCTATCCTATGGGAAGCTAAACAAACGTTTTTACTGGTTACGTTTGATTAAGTTCCCTCTTTTACCTCAAAAAAAAAAAAAAAAAAAGGCACTGGTATAATTTAGTATGGAAAGCAACTTATAATATCCACATAAGACCACAATCTCATCACCCAATCATTTGTTTTCTTCATGTTTTCCATTACCATTCATTACCACTTGCAAGTGGTATTGATGGAAATCGAAACTCATGAAAAAAAAAAAATAGCTATATGTATTTGAAAGTCATCTTGAAAGATAACGGTAATGAACAACTTTTTTTTCCCCAATTTACCTACTTATTTATTCAATTCTCATTATATAATCATTGTTTATGATTGGTTATCAAATGAGACGTTAGTATATACATGTCTAAAAAGACAATTTACAATTTACTAAATCATCAATTCATTATAATGATAATGAATATATATATATATATATATATTATATATATATATATATATATTTATATATATATATATATATATATATATATATATAAAAAAAAAAATATATATATATATATATATATATATACACTCCTTTTGTCGCTAAAAGAACAACCCTTTTGGCCAAATTTTAGTCCCAAAATGTTCATCACATTTATTTTAAATTACTTTCCAATTTACACTAATATTTAAGCAAAATTAGTTTTCCCATGTAAATTTTGCTTTTTTCATTTAATTTTTTTACTTTCTCTCTTTATTTGCAAATCGATCCCAAATAAATTTACCTTTTCAATGTACTTTTATTTGCTTTCTCATACACTTGTATTTTCATTTATATTTCTTAATACCCGTAAAAGCTCCCCAAAAAAGTCATTCATTTAGGGACGGGGAGAGTATGTATATTTCATTTGTTTCTTGTAAATGCATGCAACATATTATTCCGATGGAAAAAATATCTCTCATTATTTCAAATTTTGATCCCTTATACAATTATAAATCAACAACACAATCGACAAACGAAAAATAGTGATACATTCCAAAAGTCCAAATTACAATATAATACTGTATTATGATATCCCTAATTAAGACATGATCATCGTCCAAACAAAAAGTGCGCCGGGAATCAATCCAATAACTGATATAATCTTATTGGCACCATTTTCGGACATGTTCCCCACCTCACTCTCAGAATCTGCATGGGAATGAAAGAATGGAGATTTCAAATTAATATAAGTAAATAACATATATAATTGTTAAAAGGTCAACATATACGAGTTCTACTGTACATTTGTACAATAATGTAGTATGATAGACTGCTGTAGTAACATACGTAGTAATTTTAGTTGTTTGCATTAGTTGCCCTTTTTGGCTAGCTAGCTAAGGCCCTATTCACTTCACCTTAAAAAATAATATGAAGTAAAAATAATTTTACTTCCAGTACGTAAAAATTAGTTTAGTTCGGTATAAATAATTTCAGTTCAGTAATAATAATTTCAATGTAGTAAAATTCAGTATCTCTAAAGTAGAAATATAATAGAAAATCAGTCAAAATAATTTCAGTTCAAAAAAATTAATTTCAGTTCAGTAAAAATATCTAAAGTTCATCAAAAATAATTTCAGTTCAGTAAAAATAAGGTGAAGTGAACTGAGTCTAACTCTTGTGGATCACACTATACAAATAACTCGTCGCATACAATAACAATTAGTAAAATTAACATTTGATTGTTTATACTACCTCCGTTAATGTAATATATATATGCAGCTTTAGAATATTTTATATCTCACAAATAATACTCTAAAGTTGCACATAACATTTAATGGAGGTAGTATATCATGTTTGTTTCGTGAAAAAAATAAAGATAAAGGTAAAGAATAATATAAGTATAAAAAATATGTACAAGAGATAAAGAGAGAGAGAGAAAATTCATACACATACCATGGCACAATTTGGCGAAAGTGGTGTCAATACTACAATCAGCAAAAATCTTGTTATATTCAAGCTCGATTTGGGAGAAAGGAGGAATGGCGGGTGGTTTGTAAGTAACATTAAGAGTAGTAGACATATTTTTAAGATCAGCAGTAAGATCACGAGTAAGATTCTTATAAAGACCCTCGATAGTACAAAAACATGTTGCATTGGCTACTCCAGTTTCGATCACTGAACAACACTTTGAGTAGTCTAGCTTGGTAGTTGGATCTGTTACGTGCGCATTTTCTTTAGCCACGCATTTTCCTATATTCGCTAGGCACTCTGGTTGTTCTGGTAAGCCTGGCAAAGAAGGGGTTGGACTAACCATTTCTTGCGCGAATAAGGGCATTATTGTCATTGACAAACATACTATTCCGACTATCAACATGACATTGTTAATACCCATTTTTATGAAAGAGTTTCAGATTTTGTGTAGAAAATGTACGTACACAAAGATGATGATCAAAATGTTGATTTATAGTAGCTTGATAAGGATTAATTAATGGATTAATATGGTTATTAGTCAAATACAAGTATATTTTTATTATATCATTAGGATGGATGATTAAGCCGTTAGGTACGTAAGTATAATGGTGCTCACGATTGAAGATGATTAGTTATTGATTAGCACGATTGAAGGAAGATGTTAGGGGTGTTTGAGCTGTTTTAGCTTACAAACTTGTAATTTCCAACTAAGACTTAAGGGGCTGAAAGCTACCTGTTAATAGAAAATTAATTAATACTTTATGCTGCTTCAAAAAAAAAAAAAAAAAAAAAAAAAAAAAAAACAAACAAACCTTGATGCTATCCATTCAACGGGCCTCATTTGTATAACTAGCCCATGGATCAAGCTAGCTGCACCTGATTTGGTCAATTAATCTATTTATAAGAGGATAACATAGTCCAATTTGCTATTCAATAGGCCCAATAAAAGGGCCCATTTAGCACCCATGCTGTTCTGCCCAATGCCTAGTTACCTACAAGTCTACAACAGAGTATGCACCCAGAGTATTAGTCCATTGTTACAAAATACTTTTTGATATCTGTTTTGGTGTTTTAAGAGTCATTACAAGTGCAGCGCATGTAATTAGAATCGATACAAGGATAACTTAAAAGCGAGAGAGAAAATCAAATCTCCTCACCCATCTCTTACTCTTTTACCTTTATTTTGATAATTTATTTAATAGAAATGCTGTTTTATTTTTTATTTTTTTTATTATTTTTTATTTTTTTTTACAAGAGAAATATTGGTTAGCAAAGTAAGCTTTAGCATTATGATTAGCATAATTATATGCGAATTTATCACTAACTAGTATTTTGGCTCACGCAATGCCTTGGACTATTACATATAAATTGCAATTGTACGTTTTATACACAACTCAACATTTTATTAAATACTGTACTTTTTTACTGTTTTATTGTTCACATCATTTTGATTTGTTATGCTCGTATTTGAAATAAAGTGTAGGCAACTAGCCATTTACTTAATACATTTTTATACAAAGCTTATTAGTGTATAACTATAATAATAATAATAAAGTTTAGATATAGACATAGATCCATTAGAAAAACCCATCAAAGGGAAGCAACACCCATACTATTATTTTTTTTTTTTTTGACGGGAACACCCATACTATTAATTAAAGTATTAGTCTATTAGCATCCCTCACCACAACCCTTTTTTTAAAAAAAAGAAAAACTTTTATGAAAAATTCATAATCATAGCAAATAATATACTCCGTATATTTTGTACATAAATTTGATTTTTGTGAAAAAACTTGATTAAAATATTATCATTATTCCAGCAAAAAGTGCGGCTGAGGCAGAAACTAATCCAACTAGTAATCCAACGTTGGTAGCACCGTTTTTCACCATTTCTGTAGCTGGCGGCTTCCCCACCTCACTAGAATTACTCCCACTTCCGGATTTATTCACATCTGTATCAGAAACAACATTACATTATACTGGTAATATATTGTTACACCACATACGAGTACAATTGTAAATATAGTAAATTGTTTGCAAAATCAGTTGATGACTTGTACTAGATAGATGTGTTCTCGTTCATTGTGTGAGTTGTTTGCACAATGCTTGACATTCGAATGTTGAAGTCCTTGAAGAGCTTCCTACTTGAAATTTGTCTAAGATGATACACCGACCACTCCTAATAAGATCATACGAAGTAATTTACTTCGTTCTAAATTTTGCTTAAACTGATGATTGAATTGAATGCAATATGGGTTTGAAATGTGAATGCAATATGGGTTTCACAATATACAATGCTTAATATTCCACTAGAGGGGTGGATGAGGATTGAACATGTGATATTCTTGTCACGATTGCTCTTATACCATACTAAAAGAATACCTCAATGTAACCAAAAACTTAACTTGATGTATAATGCCAAAAAATGAGTTATATAATCTCTTGGGCTTAACATGAGCATGTGACATTTTTGTCATGAAAACTTAAACTGATGGTTGAAGTCTAGGATTGGTTTATAATCTCTTGGGCTTAACATGAGCATGCGATTTTCTATTGGAGAAGAAATGAAGGCAACTTACCCTTGCACAATTTATCAAAATTGGAGCCAAGCTTACAATCCTTGAGAGACCTATTAACAATAACGTCTTCGGTACTACAAAAGCATGGTAAATCAGCAGCCATTTGTGCTTTGATCTCCGGACAACACCAGTCGAAGCTTGTAAGTGGTTGTAGCCGTAATGCCCCCGAAATGCATTCGTACATCTTTTGCCAGCAGACTGGTTCATCCTTCGAATTCACTGATGAGGGCATTATTGTCATTAACAGCATTACAATTCCAGCCATTACTATCACTCTCATTTCTTTGTTCAATCTCCCACTCAAAACCATGTTGAACACGTAATAATGCACGTACTTGTTTTACGTTCTTATTACGACGTATTTTATTTTATTTATTTTTGACAGGATTTATTTACGCAACGTACTCCTTAAAACTTGTTAATAAGAGATGAAAACAAGCCTATTTATAGGAACCTAAATTCCTAACTGAATTTATAAATCCGTATAAAAATGGGATAAAAATGTTAGAGATTATAATATTTTGAACCATTTGTGTATATAAATATGCAATAAATCTTAAAGTCAATGTATGATACAGAGTAAAACTTTCTTCTTTTAATTGGTTAGTATATATATGCTGCCCACGATCGAAGATGTTGAGAGTATTTCTATTGCAATTTGTATTTATCATAATTTCCCACTAGGCATACAATACAGTAATACACTATACTACTTCAAATTAAGCTTTTAGTAATTCAATAATTATTAAAATTAAGTTGAAATTAGTAGATTAATAAAAATAAAGAGTGAGATAAAATGAGCGAGAGCGAAGGGCGAATGGCCTCTCTTCTGAGGAAAATGACCTGCTTCGTAGGTCGAATAAGAAATTTAAGAGAAACTCGTCTGAGATTTCTCCTTCAGTGCATTCAGATGATGTCGAGATGAAAAATCTTGTTCCAGAGTCAATGGGAGGCAGTCAGAATAAGGAACAGAGTTCCCCTGCGTCTTATATAAAGGCGACGGCGGGTGAATCTAAAACCCTAAGAAATGAGATGGATATGGAGGGCTTGGATGACGACGATGTTTCTGATGATGACATCCCGCTAGACTGTGACTCCGAGGATGAGGACTGCCCGACAATCCTGTTAACAAAGGAGGGAAAGAGGAGGTTGAGAGCTCCATGGAGAAATGCCCTAATTATCAAATTGTTTGATAAGAGGATGAGCTATGCAATCTTGGTGAAACGATTGAGATTGAAATGGCAATTGAAAGGGGATATCGCTTTAACTGATGTTGGACATGATTATTATGTGGTACGTTTCAATAACATGGAGGATTATGATTGGGTATTATCTCAAGGTCCCTGGCTAATTGGAGATAGTTATCTCACTATTAGAAAATGGGAACCAAATTTTGTTGCTGATGAAGCTCCAATTAAGAAGCTGAATGCGTGGGTTCGAATTCCTCAACTCTCTGTAGAGTATTTCGATAAGAAGTTTCTATATGAAATTGGTTCGAAAATTGGAAAAGTGGTCAAAATTGATCGAAACACTGAATCCAGAGATCGAGGCCAGTATATCAGATTCTGCATCGAAGTGGATTTGACAAGGCCTTTGCTGTCAAGGTTTAAGATGAATGGAAGGATATGGAGAATTCAGTACGAGGGATTGAAGCAAATATGCTTTAAATGTGGTCATCTGGAACATAAAGAGGATGCTTGTACTCTTTTTAAAAAGACAGCTGGAGGGGAAGGCAGTGAAAAGGCCCAAGGTGCACATCCTGTAGTGGGTCAAGGAGACCGAAATGATACGAAAAGACCTAAGGAACAAGGAAAATATGGGACATGGATGTTAGTCCAAAGGCCTCAAAGGAAGACTGCTACTAAGAAAGTTGATCAAGGTAAAAATAAGCCTAATGTTTCGAGGCTTGGGAAACAGATTGCAGGGAGTAATAGCATTGAGGAAGGTAGTAGTAAAAGTGTGAGGGGTAATAATAATAGTAATGCTGGGAAAAAAGTTCAGGGGAACGTGGCAAGTAAACAGGGGTCGAGATTTAGTGTATTGAATCATGGTGATTAGATAGAAGAAGAAGATCAAATTATGGAAAGAAATAACACCTCTGTTAACTTGGAAGCAAGTTTGGAGTCGAACAATTCTGTTTTGGTAAAAAGTGCTATTAACTTGAGTGATGAGGAAAGCAGGGGACAGTTTAAAGAAGGGAATAATTTTATTCAGGGAAAGAGGAACCAAAATTTGGAAGAGGATGCAATGGAGGAAGATTCTATGGTGAATTTGGGAAGTTCTTTGGAAGAGGGAAGTAAAAAGATTTGGGAGATTATCTCTAAAAAGAAAAAGATAATCTTGGGGTAAAAAATCTAGTTGATAAAGATTTACACCAAGAACTTATCTTTCCAGAAAATAAATTCCCTTTGGCAGTGAATAATATTGTGAATAATTCTGTGCCAAGCCCTATTGAATCGAATTACATTAATTCTTCTCAACCAGTGATTGGCAAGGAGAATTTCTGTGAAGTGGAGCCCTCGATACATCTGGATCTTCGTGGAGATAAGGAGAAGTCGAGGGAGTATCAAGAGGATGTCATACCAAGTTCCTATAACTCTGGTGACTCGGATCCCAAGGGAGGTCGAAATGTTCATCGACAATCAGACCGAAGGTCCGACTTTGGTGTGTGCTCACCCTATGGAAAACAAGGTGGAGATGGAGGTGAATGCGTTTCTCCCCCCACAGTTCATTCCACCAGAGTTGTTGGCAAGATTCAGTCTGTCGTTCGAGACGGAAGGACCGATGAGAGCATTAAGGGATCTATACCTGAGCAATCTGCTGGGAATCCCTCTGGAAATTTATGATAGGTACCCCATTTTCCCAAATTTTAATATGTCTTTAAGAATTTTAATTTGGAATGTGCAAGGGGCTGGGAATAAGCTCAATTCTATTATGGAATTGGTGCGAATCAATGATCCAATGGTGTTGGCTCTTGTGGAGACTCACTTGAGTGGTGAGCAAGCTGATAATATTTGTGCTCGAATTGGTTTTTCGGGGCAACGTAGGGTGGAAGCTCAAGGGTTTAGCGGTGGAATATGGCTATTTTGGAGGAGGGAGCAAGTGTCAGTCACTTTATTTGATGAAAATACTCAGCATATGACGGTGATAAATAAGAAAAATGGAGATGATCCTTGGTTATTTTCGGCTATATATGCCAGCCCGAGTAGCAGTTTACGTAGAGAGTTATGGCAACAGCTTGAAAACATTCGCAGGAACTACTCGGGTCCTTGGTTGCTTGGAGGCAATTTTAATGATACTCTGTCTATTGATGAGAGGAATGGAAATAATAATTCGAAAATGCAGAGAAGGCGTCAAGAGTTCTCGAACTGGGTCGAGAATAATGGTCTTATTGATTTGGGTTGCACTGGTCCTGAGCACACTTGGTTTCGAGGTTTAACTCCGGACAATTTTAAATCTGCGAGATTGGATAGAGGGCTAGCTAACGAAGAGTGGAGGCTGTTATTTGCGGAGGGTGCAGTGCGGAATCTCCCAAGAATTAAATCGGACCATTGTCCGATTTTAATTAGCACTAATGGTTTTGCCCCTATTTCGATGGTGAACAGACCCTTCAGATTCCAGGCTGCGTGGGTACATCATGGTAAATTCGAAGAGTTTGTTAATGCGAATTGGAATAAGACTGCTCCTATTGTTCCTTTTTTAAAAGAATTTGCGCTGAAGTTGGAATAAAGAGGAATTCCACAACATTTTTAGGAAAAAAGCGGAACTATGGGCTAGACTTGAGGGCATTCAAAGGCTGTTAGCTTAGGGAAGCCAACCCCATCTTATTAAGCTCGAAAGTAATTTAAGAGCGGAAATGGATGAAATCCTAGACCAAGAGGAGCTACTGTGGTTTCAGAAATCTCGTGAAGAAGCTATAATATATGGTGATAGGAACACGAGGTTCTTTCATCTGGCTACGATTCTGAGAAGAAAAAGGAACAGGATCGAGACTCTTTAGAATGGAGAAGGAGATTGGGTTACGGAAGCAAGTCAAGTGCAGCAACTTGTTTTAGATTTTTGGCAGGACATCTTCAAAGAGGAAAGGGTCGGTTTTCGTCAGGAAAATATTATTCCAGACTACTTTCCCTACATTGATTCGAATAAGTGGGAGAAGGTGAATAGACCGATTGAAGAATGTGAAGTATATAAAGCATTGAAGAGCATGAAACCTTTCAAAGCTCCGGGTCCGGACGGGTATCAACCTTTATTTTTTCAGAAATATTGGGAGTTAGTGAAGACTAAAGTGCTTGAATTGGTTAAAAATGTCCTAGAAGGCCGTGAGTTTCCGGAAGGCTTAAATGATGCTTTTCTTGTTTTGATTCCAAAAGTTGATGTTCCCCAACAAGCTAAGCAATTTCAGCCAATTGGACTTTGTAACATTGTGTACAAATTAGTCACCAAGGTGATTGTTAATCGGTTGAAAAGCCTATTACCTTCGCTTATTTCCGCTACTCAATGTAGTTTTGTCCCTAAAAGGAAGATTACGGACAATATTATCATTGTTCAGGAAATGCTACATACCATGAGACACAAGAAGGGTAGAGTGGGGTATATGGCAGTGAAGATCGACTTCGAGAAAGCCTATGATAGGCTGCGATGGAGTTTTATTCGGGAATCTCTCATTGAACTTAGACTCCATCAAGCTATGGTGGATGTTATTATGCAATGTATTACTTCAGCTCGGCTAAGTATTCTTTGGAATGGAGAGCCAATGCCTTATTTTGACCCAAGTAGAGGGATTCGTCAAGGAGATCCCCTTTCTCCTTATCTGTATGTTATATGTATGGAAAGACTTGCCCATCTTATTGAGCGTGAAGTGAAGTTTAAGTGTTGGAAACCGGTCCGAGCTAGTAGAGATGGCCCTCCCATTTCTAATCTTGCCTTTGCGGATGACCTCATTCTCTTTTGTGAGGCCTCGGTGGATCAAGCTTCTTTGATGATTGAATGCCTAAATAAATTATGTGAAGCCTCTGGAAGTAAGGTAAGTGTTGACAAATCCAGGGTGTATTTTTCCAAGAATACGAATTTTGATGTTAGGGATGCTATTTGCAACACATTGGGGATGGAAGCTACAGAAGACTTTGGTAAATATCTTGGAGTGCCCACCATTAATGGTAGGATTTCTAAGAAGGAATACCAATATCTAGTGGATCGTATTAATGGAAAAGTTGCGGGTTGGAAGACTAAAATGATGTCAATGGCTGGTAATATATAGTTGAATGATATATTTGTTGTAAAGAGGCAAATGGAGTGTAAATCACAAGCTAAGTGAGTCAAACTTCTAAGAGTAGATCAAGTTAAGACAGTATATTTAGTAGCAAGGTCGTAATTTTTGTAATTATATAATTGCAAAATAAATAATACAAAATGAAAATTATTACACAAACAAATACAGAAATCTTTATTTAGAACTTAGAAGGTCAAATAGCACATTCCTTATTATACATATACATTTTACTCCATAAAAATTAAAGATAAGAAGATAATAGCCCGTCATCGCAATCGTGTGAGAAGCGAAATACTACGTATGACGGTATTAATCTTAAGAATTACCTGCAATTGTAAACAGAATAATTTGTTAAAATTTAACTCAATATAGTTTGCAACATTTCGTACCATTGATGTACGTAATGCTTGTACAATTAGTTGTAACTACCATTATTATTTTATTCAACTACGCCAGTTTAATGTTAAAACATTTCGAAGAGTACGTCTCAAAAACCATACAATACTTTGGGGTGGAGGAAATATAAGTTTATCCATTCTACAAAAATTCAATTGGCAAAAAAGGCAATTACCCGGTGACATCGTTGGAGCTGCGACAGGGCTTAAAGCTTCACCTGCATTTTTAAGGATGAGAGAAAATTGATTACTTAATTTAATGCTTCATATATAAGCCATCCTCAAAACTAAATTTGAATAGACAACTTATTTGAATTATTTAATCAACTTTTCACAAAATTAGTAGTAATTAATTATCTCCCTGTTCATAATTTCTTGCAACAACTTGACTGACACACGACGTGTAAAATGATAATGCACAAGGTTTACCTCATAAATATGTGAATAATGTGATCATTAAGTATTATTAACAACTAATTCGTTCATATTTGAAAATATTTAGTACATTCAATTCAGAGATTTGAGACCAATTCCACACAATAACATTTGATTTTGATTTGAGAGGACTAATTCAACACAATAAATTATTTTTTATTAATTTTTTATATATATAAATTATTTTATTAAATACTTCGTAGGGCCTGTTCATTTCAGCTTAATTTCAGTTCAGTTTAGCTCAACTCCAAGCAATTCAGTTCAGTTCAACTCCTTATTTCCTTTTCTCATAAAATATTCATTTCAACTCTATTCAGTTCAGTTCAGTTCAACTCCAATCAGTTCAGCTTAGTTCGGTAAATATGAACAGACCCTAGTCAATATTAAAAATATGATGAATAGTGTTACAGTCTAAGTATTATTAATTTTAAGAACGGAGGATGTAAACTTGTAATATACTTGATCAATATTTTATACTTATCAACAAAAGGAAATAATTATCGCTTGAGAAGGAGCTGAGGGTGTAAGAATTACTATTCATAAGATTGAATTTGCCAGTAATAAAAATTAAAAGATTGGAAGCACAGGGTTAAAATATGTTGGGATATGCTCTAATTAAAGGTGCGTTTGGTATGAAAAGTGAAAATGGAGTGGAAAAGAAATAAATAAGGAGAAGGAAAAGAATAACTTAATTAACCATTATCTTTTCATTTGTTTGGCTTAAACATGGAAATAAATCACTTAAACCTCACTCTCTTTATTTTTGTTTGAGGAGGGTAAGAGTATTTTTTACCTTAGCTTTTAGAGAGGTAACAAATGGGTGGAAACCATTACCCTTATGTAATGCTAATTGTTACCAACTTTTCTAACCAAACACTTGGTAACGGTAATGGTTTAATGAATCCGTTTCCAACCATAAAAATACTCTTACAAACATGATCTAAGTCTCTAATCACATGAAAAAAGAGAGAATCAACCTTTATATTTGGTTAAGAGGCTACATACTCTTCAAGTTTTTATATGATTTTGGGACGAAACTTCCTTTTAGGTTTTATCTCACACTGATAACAATTAAAATAGAGAAAGCTAATCACATCTTACAAAGGAAATGGTAAATATTTCTACCAATTTTCCTTTTTTTTTTTTTTTTTTTTTTTTTTTTTAGGGCATTCAACAAATTGTCCTTACATGAGGCATTTATTATTAATTATACTCTAATAAAACATTTTATCCTTTTTAAAATGTTAAATTTTGGGTGATCAAGTTAGCACTGGCATTTAAAATACAGAATTGCATGCATATCTTTTACTACTCTGTATATACTTGAATTATTGTTTATTCGTTGATTGAAAACATATATACGTACTTCATTTTTCCCAAATTTATAGTTTATGATGATAGTGTAAGTTGATTACTTAGATTTGAACAAATTTAACAACGTGACAAATAAAATCAGACGAACAAGTATTAATTAACAGTTCGTATTACCAAGGCAAAAGTCGTCAAGTGCAGGAATTGAGGTGACAACGCCGCACGTAGTAAAAATCTGGACAAAACTGGGAGATACAGCGGGATTTTGGTTAAGATATGAGCTGATGCTACAAAAGCATGGTTTCTCAGTGCTTGCTGTTTCTTGGATGAGAGAGCAGCAAAAGAAATCTGTCATATTAAACGACGCGCTCAATGGATCGTATTGTGGCAATGACTGGCTATTGTTGACATGATCAATCCAGCAAGTAGAGATGCCATCCCAGCAGCCTCCTAGATCTGGTGAGGGTTAACACACGTACAATAACAGTAAATTAGATAATCTAAACGTATGTACGTTAAATTTTACCAACAAATTAGGGCTAAAATAAAGGCAAAATGAGCCAGGAAAATAATTCAATAACTACTTATTACTTATTATCTCCAGCATGAATACGATGTTTTCTCTATTGTAATGAAAAATTCAAAAAAATATTGAAATCAATTAATAATATAATAGAATTATGAAGTATGGAGTATTAAAACTTGTACCGGAAAAAGGAAAGAATGAGTTACCTAACGGTGTAGGGGCCGGAGATAAAACTTCGGGGCTCGGAGCTGGGCCTTCTTGTGTTAATGAAGGCATAAACTGTATAGATAACAATACTATTATTATTGCAACCACCTTCATTTTTATGTGTTTTAATTTCTTTGATTTTTCTTCTCTTTTACTTGTTTTCAAAATTTATATTTTTCGCTGTATATAGTCGACTATGGACTATGTATGCATGTGTTGGTTATTTATACAAGGCATATCAAAAACTATTCCGTAAATCAAATTATGCCGTTTTTGTTGAATTGAAAGTTTGAAACTTTCTTAGCTTCCAAGCAAACTAATTTATCCATATATTAATTAATTTATTGATGACTTATTCTATGTAATGACATCGATCAAGAACTATTCCTCAATAAATCCGTCATTTGTACGTACATGATTATATATATCTTAAATAAACTTCTTCTAGTACATACTAAGAATACAAGTTTAATTACTATTTTGTATTGATTTTAACAATTTATTATATTTTGCATGCAAGATATATGGAGAGAAAAAAATATTAGTACCTCAAGCTATCATATGGTGACCTCTTTTTTTTCCTTATAGGCTTGATTATTTTAAAAAAAAAATGTTCACAAAGTATAATAAAATGTTCGGAAATTTTAACCTATATACTTATCAGTTTGACTATTAATCTATGTAGACAATATAGTACAAGAAGATTTTGGTTCCAATTGAAAAACTAGTAGCGCGATAAATTATTACGGATTATTGAAAAATCAGTTTGACTCAATATTTTAGAAAATATTTATGAACTCATGAGTCACTTATTAATGGAAATAAAAAATCTTTTTGGAATATAGCAACAATAATAAAGTACTATACATGTGTCACTTGACTTTAATTTGCGTTTGTTGCAAGTTGAGTTGATAGCGTATACTCTGTAGATAGTATGTATTTTTTAACATGCCTTATGATTTACTTGTGGATAAAAATAATTGTTTACCGGTTTTAGACCGGATTGAAGCTAAGACAGAAAATAAATTTTCAAAAAATTGATGATCGGGTGATTAAATTGGGACCAAATTTAATTTGGACAACCACCGGTTTTGATATATATATATATATATATATATATATTATATATATATATATATATATATATATAAAGCTAAATTTTTAATAATGCATTCTGAAGAAGCGGAGAGGGTTAATGAAATTGACCAAGACTGGCAAGAGAAGACTTGACAAAATAATAAAATAATTGAGAACCAATTTTAATGTCTTTTTTCATTTGTAAGTCTAATTAAAAAAACTCAAAAAAATTAAAGTTTTTGTAACTGATTAAGAATATTAAAAAGATTTTATGCATAATTTTAAGAAAAAAAAATGTATAAGACCAGTTTTTGAAGGGCTTTGAACCGGATTTGACCAAAACCGAAAAAAATTCATTTTTGACACAGCGATAACCAATCCAAATTAGGGTTGGTCCGGTTCATTTTTTCTCATTCAGTCTAAATAGGTTTTTAAACACCCTCGACTGTAATGACTTTTTATGTTGAATTTATTGAAAACTCCCCTTTTTAAAAAAATGTCATTTGGAAACATGCAATAAATTATTAATAGTCAAATGTGCAATGACAACTAAAAATGACTTTAGTCCGTCAAGTGTTAGCCATATGAAATACAAGTTTATCATGTGTTAGTATATGCCATTGGAGGTTGACTACATATAACACCCGTAAACTAACTCGCCTTTTCTAAAAGTTTGTGTTAATATCTATACGATGGTAAATGGACTGGGTAAATGGACTTGGTAATGATGACAAACCAAGTATATAAAATTATAAATTGACCTTGAATGAAATGTTGTTTGTAAAATAACACTCGCTAAAATGCATGGATATAGAATGGTAGTGTGGTACTGCATATCCAAAGAAATTAAATAAAATTATAAGAACATAAATAAAGTACATGCATTACTTTTATTTATAAGGATGTCCAAACATTTTATTCATGTAGTGCACTCAAAGTAAAAAATAAAAAATAAGAAGAAAAAATATAATATAATATAATGTACTGGCTCCGTTAATTGTTATCTGCAACTTTGGGGTATTATTTATGTGATATAAAATATTCTAAAGTTGCAGATAACAATTAATGGAGGTAGTATAATAGTATATAATTCATTGATGTCTGATAACTAGGGGTGTTCAAATCCGGGTACCCGGGTTTTTGGGTACACCCAGGTTTTCGGGTACCCGAAAACCTGGGTACCCGAAGTTTCGGGTACTTGTTAATCTGTCTCATGTCCCGACCCGACCCGAATTATTCGGGTCAGGACATAGGATACCCGGATCTCTTAGTTCCAATTTCAGTAGTTCTAAAACTTAGTTCCAATTTCAGTTCTATAAATACACATGAACAAACGCTAAATTAAATTCAATAAACAAACGCAATATGACAAATTTGAGCACGAAATACACTACAATTAGTACAATTACCACGATAATACAAATTGAAATCGCATGAGAATTACAACGAAATTTAAAAAATACCCCTAAATACAAATTCAATTGGATTATATAAATTCAAATCTACCACAAATTACAACGAAATTAAAAAATACCCATAAATAAACTAGCATGAGAATATAAATTACTCGAGAACTCGTCAAAACTGAGGATTGAATCGCTTGCCTTGAACTCGCATGAACTCGTGAAGGCTTGAATGAAGGCACATCCGTGAAGGCTTGAATGAATGAAGGCACATCCGTGAACGCGTGAAGGCTTAAACTCGTGTGAACTTGTAATGGTTGGAAGCAGCGAAGCAGAGAGAGCCCAGAGAGGAAGAGAGAGAGAGAGAGGGAGCGGCGTTTGGGAATTGAGGAATAAGAACCCTATTTTGCACTGAAACTAAATGGGCTGGGCTTAAATTTTGACGGAGGTTTTTCTTTTTTTTTTTTATATTAATTTATTTTCGGGTAATTGGTACCCGAAAATTAATAAATCTGTCCCATGTCCCGACCCGAAAATAGGTCAGTTTTCCGGGTCGGGTACCCGTACCCGAAAAAAGAGTTTTTTCCCCAAATTTCCCATCGGGTTTTTATCGGGTCATCAGGAAATCAGGTCGAGACAATCGGGTCGGGTTTTTTTTAACACCTCTACTGATAATTGATAAGAACCAAGAAGCTACAAAATGATACTTCATAGCGGTTTTGTTGGAAGCACCTGTTCATCTCAAGAATCATCACTTGCGATTATAATATTACACTTTAATCTTGTTAGAAAAATGAAAAAGCTAATTAACAAACAATAAAACACACTTAAGTAAATCAAGAATAATCTAGATTACCTGAAGGTGGCATCATAGGAGCTGCGGCGGTTAGGCTTTGAACTTCACCTTTAATTTCGAAAAAAAAAAAAAAAAAAAGATCAAACATTTTTTTTTTTGCTAAATGAATATTATGCGCATTTAGCAAAAAAAAAAAAAAAAAAAAAAAAACCAGCCCCCCTTCCCCACAACCACTACAGCCCCTGCCAGCGGCCGACGCCGACGATCACCTTCATCCCGGTCGGTTTCCCCTCCCTTTACCCTATAACACCACCCATTTCCCCTTTTCCCCCCATCGGAAATTGCCCCCTCCCCACACCTGAATCGACACCCTACCCTCCCTTTGACATATTTTAGCTTCCCCCACCTCAACGGGATCCACCCCGCAATCCGACAAATATTCCCTTTTCCCCTGTCAAAAACTTCCCCCTCCCCTCGTCCGCTACCTAAATCGACCCCCTCCCTGTTTCCTACCTAGAAACAACACCTTTAAACCCTAAACTTAACCCACAAACCACCCTGAACGAGTTTGGGTACACTAGTAGAAAAAATCAAAAAGGCACCCCCTAATTGGCACCGGTTCAGTCCAAACCCGTGTCAAAAATGGCCTTAAACTTTGGTGGGAAGTTGAACCAGGATATATGGCACCGGTTCACTTCAAACCGGTGGCAAAAACATAAAAGGGCACCGGTTTGAAGTGAACCGGTGCCATTAAATATTAAAAATAAAAAAAACCGGCCCATATAAAAGCCCCCCAACCCTAACTTATTAACTCAATCAGCCGTTTCTCTTTCTCTCTCCTCCTCTCTTACTCTCTTCCTCTTTCTCTCTCCTCTCCTCCTCTTTCTCGATCTCCTTCTCCGTCCTCTTCCCTCATCTCCTTCCAACATGCAACACCGTCCTCACTTCTTTCAATCCATTTCTTGGTATTTTTTTTCGAATTCTTTTTTTTTATTTTTACGATTTCTGGGGGGTTTTTTATTCGATTTCAACTTTGATAGATTTTTATTTTATTTTGATTATTATTTTTTATTTCTGTTCATTTTTATTCGATTTTAATAGGTTTTTTTTCGATTTTGATTTATTTTTCTTCGAATTATGGGTATTTGTTTTTCGATTTCATTTTTGGGTATTTGTTTTTCGATTTCATTTCTGGGTATTTGTTTTTCGATTTCATTTTTGGGTTTTGTTTTTCGATTTCATTTTTGGGTTTTTGAAAAAAGTTCAGGGGAACGTGGCAAGTAAACAGGGGTCGAGATTTAGTGTATTGAATCATGGTGATTAGATAGAAGAAGAAGATCAAATTATGGAAAGAAATAACACCTCTGTTAACTTGGAAGCAAGTTTGGAGTCGAACAATTCTGTTTTGGTAAAAAGTGCTATTAACTTGAGTGATGAGGAAAGCAGGGGACAGTTTAAAGAAGGGAATAATTTTATTCAGGGAAAGAGGAACCAAAATTTGGAAGAGGATGCAATGGAGGAAGATTCTATGGTGAATTTGGGAAGTTCTTTGGAAGAGGGAAGTAAAAAGATTTGGGAGATTATCTCTAAAAAGAAAAAAGATAATCTTGGGGTAAAAAATCTAGTTGATAAAGATTTACACCAAGAACTTATCTTTCCAGAAAATAAATTCCCTTTGGCAGTGAATAATATTGTGAATAATTCTGTGCCAAGCCCTATTGAATCGAATTACATTAATTCTTCTCAACCAGTGATTGGCAAGGAGAATTTCTGTGAAGTGGAGCCCTCGATACATCTGGATCTTCGTGGAGATAAGGAGAAGTCGAGGGAGTATCAAGAGGATGTCATACCAAGTTCCTATAACTCTGGTGACTCGGATCCCAAGGGAGGTCGAAATGTTCATCGACAATCAGACCGAAGGTCCGACTTTGG